ATATTGTGGTTGATTGGTATTAGATTTGAGGACTTTGATTTCAACTGATCATAGAGCTTTATTTTTCTCTTTTATCAATTTCTTCTTATAATGTTTAATCTTATGATTAGTATTTTTGATAGTAATGACACTCTCTACCTGTATCTGTTTATGATTATTTTTGACAATTTAGTATCTATTTATCAAATAATGAGCAGATAACTCATTCTCTCAATGCATATTTAATTTTATCTATATTAGATTCTATTTGAAGATTTTATTCAATTGCTAGATTAGATTATATATCAGAGTATTTTTCATTTTTTATATAATCTTATCTGCTGTTTTAATTTAATAATGTAGTTTTACAACTGTATTTGAGAATGTCAACTAAGAAGACACAGTGAAGAATCAGGAAATAAGATATAACTGAAGTATTCTTTATTATTACTATCATAGATAAGAAGCTCTAAGCTATCATCTATATTATATTATTTTAAGTATTGAATAATTATATTTTATTTAATTAAATAAATCTCATAGTCAGCAAATTTAGCTCTAATAATGATAGATTAGATGATTTAATGACAGATACTTTCTAAATTAGTAAAAAACTACCTCTTATTATATTGCTCATATCTATATCAAGTAGTCTTGTTAACTATTTTTATATGATAATACTTATATTGCTGAAAAAATATATCATTGAGAGATTATAGTAGATAACTCATATAAAATAAGAATTCAAATATAATGATATTATAAAAGTCATAATATTAAAAAAACTTTTCAGTAAGATGAGATCTATGATAGTCCAATAGTAGTAATTAATGACTGTCAATCTGATATCTTTTAATAACAATATTAAAAAGTTTCATAACTTAGTCTAGTAACATGATAATAATAAAACAAAAGCTCAATTCATCTATCTTCTAGATATCTATGATGGAAATACTAAATTAAGAAATAAAATATAAAATAAAGAAGTGGTTAAATATATATAGATAGTTAAAAATTAAAGTAAATTAATCTATACAATTAAATATAATTAAAAATAAAACATATCAATCTTATCTTCTATTACTATGAGAATGTGAATATAAGCCGTATAAGAAGAAAACTCTCTGCGTTGCTAACTGCTATATAACAGAATACTGAGCTATATGAGACGAAAGAGAGTGCTAAAGCCTGCTCAGGTTATAACAACTCATATGATCACATGATCATATGATGAGAGTTAAGTCTAATCAGATGCTGAGTCTAATCTGACATTGAGTCTAATTAAGCGCTGGGTCTTGGTCAGACTTAGTCAGACATTGAGCCTAACATCACTTCTCAGTCTAGGAACAGGCATGTTCTCATGCTGGTAGATAATCATCAACTTTATTATTCAGAAAACTGTCTATCTTCCACACCTTCAGCCACTTATCTAGTCATTTTGAGAGTTTGATTTTTGTAAAATTAGTTTTATAGAAGTTATATATATGATATATAGTAATTCTTTAAAATTATGAGCTGGAAGTCATATATAATATATAATAATTCTTTAAAGTTATGAGCTGAGTATCAAGATGAATTCTTAATATATTTTTTTCAATGGATTTGATATTACAATTTACTTTAAAATTTATTTAATTAACTTATATATACTTTATTTTTAATTTATTTTTATCATCTATCTCAATTAAGTCTAGTGGTTTAATAGTCTACTCTGATAGAGAATCTATTAAATCTTTATGCAGTTTATCTGAGAAAAAGATTAAATAAATTTTTATAATTATGAGAAGGTTTAATCTATAAATATTATCTACTCTTTTTAGAATTCTGAAGAAGTCTGTATTTTATGCTATCAGCTTATAACTTAATCAATAAATTTTATATAATTTCAATTTCAAATAAATGAAATCTCTTATTATGAAGTTAGATTTTTAATAATATTTATCAGTCTATTTCTTCATTTATTTCTATACTATTTTTATGCTTTTATCTATCTGCTTTTAGATTTTTTTCATTTAATTAATAAAGTTTTAAGTAGTTTTTTAATTGATTTTCTCTTCTGCATCTAGTTCTCTTAGCAGAGGTCTTCAATCAAATGATATTTATGACTCATATTCATTTGAAGCTAGAAAGAAAAAGATTTTAGTAAAAATATTTGAAGTAACTGCAGAAGCATAATCTATAATAAGTTATCACTTATTCTAGTTATTCTAATAGTAATTGATATACAAATGAAGATAAGTAATAATATACTAGTTTATTATCTCAGTCTATTCATCTGTCTATATGTAATACACTATTGATAGTTTCAACTTTATATTTAGAATTTTTATGAACTTATTTCAGAAGTTAAATATAAACTAAGAATCACAGTTAAAGATAATTAAGTTTGATGTTTTATTATAAAAATAGTAAAATTAGATGCATAATTAAATCAGCTTATAGACTATAATTTTACAGATGATAGAAACTGAAATTATCTTATTTTTTAATCAGTAAACTATAACTAAAATGATATTACAGTCACTTTTTCTTTAAAATATATTTATAAAGTTAATTATAATATGCTACCATATTCATTTTAATATTAATAGTAACTTTAACAAACTAAGAGCTTTAATTCATAAGATTTTATTAATTCAGCATATATAATAGTTTTGAATATAATGTAGAATATCTATTTATCAGATGATTTATCAATAATAGAGATGAATTAAAGTTAGAATCTTTTATCTATCTAAATATGTTATTGAGATTTGATTATAAATCTTTTATAGTAGTGTAGCTATGAAAATTTTTCTCTTCTGAACAAACACTATCAATCTTTTATTGTAAAGCAATATATTATCTTTTATTATATAGAGACTATTCTTCTCTTCTACTTGCTACTACAGAAGGTTAAATAAGATTGTTATTTTATTTAAAGATATAATATGTTCACTAATATTCTTTTTTTCTGAGAATTCAATACTGATAATATCTGCATTTATAAAAAAAATAATCTGAAAGTTCAAGATCTTTAATTTTTGAAGAATTTACTGATAATTATCTGATTACTTCTTAATGTACTCAGATTTGCTTAGTGTGTTTATCAGTATATTGTTCTTCTCTAATTAATATTTGATCTCAAAGTAGAAGTGAGAAAGAAATTTTATATAGTAGATCTAATATATATTTAACTTTTTAATTATCATAAAGTATTTCAGCATGTGATAATCAATAAGAATTGTAAATTTTTTTTTCTGTTATAGTTTCTTAAACTCAGCTTATTGCTTCTGCAATACTTAGATAACTGCATGTATTTTCTTATTATGAATCTCATAGTTGATCTCTGCATTATTTATTAACTTGAAGTAGAATATCATAGAGTGTTATAGATTAT